ATTTATTTAATAAATGAAAAAATAATAATTGAATAAATAAAAAAACATTAGAAGTTAACTCAAACCGTAGTACCAACACAATAACACACATAAAAATAAGTATATCCAATACACGCATAAAAATTATATAAAAAAAAACGTATAATCTGGCAAGATGGCTGGTTACTGACACAAAATACAAAAGCAAATTTGTAATAGCAAGCATTAATAGCCATTTCGCGCATTTAATTCGGATACTAAAATCGTTTCTGTTAAGCGCTGCTTTATATACTACCATTTCGTTTGAAGTACAACAAAAAGACTGCTTTCGGCTATAGAAATTAAATTTAAAAAAAATATATAAAAAATAATATAAGATATATTTCGCTGCTTTTTCCGGCTTGTGTCAGCAATCAGCGGCGTGAAAGAAGCTACATAAGTCAAGCTTAGGAGTATAATGTGCGTCCCCAAACATGTGTATACCATATTTGCATAACTATGTGCATATTAGGGTGTTCTTTATTTTCGCAGGCTATTTGTTATTATTATTTAAAAATAAGAAACCAAACAAGCTTCTTATTTTTAGTTTAAATCGTACCTAAATCATTGTACTTTTTCTTTGTATATATTCCCTGTAACATTTTGCATTAAACAAGTAGGCCAACAATTTTGGAAATGTGATATTCCAAAACAAAATCTTTTGCTCTTTAAAAAAGATTTCAATCATTTTTTTCATGAAACCACTCCTTTAAAAGTTATACGCGGTTAAAGTTAGCTACGTAATGTACTGAGCGTTCTGCAAGTGATTTATACATTTTGTGTTACGCATACGACATGGTGTACTTTGAAGTTTGAATGCAGTACAATTGATACATAACTTTAACTACATACCTACATATAACTTTGAAAGAAGTATTGAAATTTTATTTTTTTAAGTAAAAAATGTATTGTATTGAACAGCGTATATTAAGTTTGTCACGAAGTTTGTAACACCCAGAAGGAAGCGTCGGAGACCCTATCAAGTATATATATATAAATGATCAGTATGTCGATCTGAGTCGATTTAGCCATGTTCGTCTGTCTGTCTGTATAAATACGAACTAGTCCCGTAGTTTTGCATCGGTTATTTGTGGTCAAGATATCGTTTTGAAATTTTGCAAACGGCATTTTCTCTGCAAGAAGCTGCTCATTTGTCGGAACGGCCGATATCGGACCACTATAACATATAGCTGCCGTACAAACTGAACGATCTGATTCAAATGCTTGTATGGAAAACTTTCACATTTGACAAGATTCACGAAATTTGGTATAGATTGATTTTTTAGGCAACAATGTAAACTCCAAAAAATCTGTTCAGAACGGATTACTACAGCATACAGCTTCCATACGCACTGAACACATAGTTACTAACAGAAATGCACCTGTGAATGGTTTTTTCTTGTTTTTTTTCAAATTTATAAGAAATATTGCTTTGGAGATACAAATTTTATTGTGAAATATCAAAAGATTTAATGTTATAACAACCTGCGAAATAACGGACACACTACTATGCATGTATGACATACATGCATACACATTTGCACGTACATACTCAATCAATCGTTTATAACTGTGAATAATCAATTCTCACTCGCATACAAACACACACACACACACATTAGTACACTTAGTGTACTCAACAACACACATCGATCGACTCATACGGCCTAGCAATATATATACTGTTCTAGCGTTAGTTTTAATATTAATGAGAATTCAAATATTTAGTATATACATACATGCATACAATTAATATAAAATAATATAATTAATAAACTTAGAGATATATGTATGTGTAACAAATAAAATTGAAATATTTTTAGCGCATATTTTTGTATTGTATAAAATTATAATTATTATTTTTCTTAGTTACTACGTATTAATTACGAAACTAAATAAATTGGACTTTGAACTCTTGAAAATAAGCTGAACACAATAAAATAAAATGTAATAATAACAATTTTGCAGTATGAAAAGGTTACAACTTGAAATTATGTAAACGTGCAATAAATAAAAAGGATAATATGATGAACAAATTGGTAGATTTTGTCTTAATTTGTCTGTATAATAATATAATATGTATTGTTTTTGGTTTATTTATTATTTGTTTGGTGTATTATTAAAGTTAGCTTTTATAGGATACCTAAAGTATATAGTGATTATTTCCAAGTTGTTGTTGTAACGGTGATCCAGTCTTGAAGGTACTTATGGCTCCACTGTGAATGGCGGTTAGGGCATGTTGCGTTCGAAGTCTGGTCGGGGTATAGTTTTATGTCGTCGACGTAGTTAAGGAAAGACCTCTTGATGTTCGTATGTGGCGGTTCCGCTGAAAGCAGAATATTTTCTATGAAAGCGCGCCAGCAGAAACTGCTTAGAGAGGAGTTCATTTTGCTGCTAAACTAGAACATGCGGGGCTCATTGTGTAGATGCTCGATGAGAGACACCAAGACGCATCCCGTTGTAGTGCGGAGTGCTGTTTACTGACTTGTCTGTAGCTTCCTCGCCTGCGTTTCACTGTATTCAGGCGACCATATAGGTGCGAATATAATTTTTATTTTTCTTACTTCAAGTAAAAATTGTGGTTATCTAATAAATTCGTTTTAAAAAATATTGTAAAATAATAGGTTGTCAAAAAAGTCTTGCGGTATTTTTTTATTGAATTTTCAATTGTTCATAAAATTTTTTTTGATGACTCATGCCCAGCTCTTGACCGATGCTACGGTCTCTTTCGCAATTTTCGACGACAGGCCTTCCGGAGCGTGGCGCATCTTTGACCACCTCTACACCAGAACGAAAACGTTGAAAGCATCGTTGTGCGGTGAAAATAGAAACTGTATCGGGTCCATAAACTGCACAAATTTTATTGGCGGCTTGAGATGCATTTTTGCCTTTATCGTAGTAGTATTGTAAAATATGCCGTATTTTCTCATTATTTTGCTCCATGTTTGCGACGCTATAACTCACGAACGACTTAAAAGAAACGACAATCAATCAAACACGTGACTTTTTTGACAACCTAATATATAAATAATTTCTAGTTGTATATGCACACTCTTAAATATTTTTTATTGTTAAGCATAAGAAAGTGCAAGTTAAGAGCACACAAAACATCGAACATGTTCGAGCAAGTAAACAACTACACCAATATTGCGACACTGTTGTTTTTCTGTAGATACTCAGCTGATACTTATACTGGAATATTTAATAAATTTTTCAGAATAATTTTCGCTCTAATGCTTTTACTTAAAATAAAACACGAAATAAGTCAAATAAATAGCAATTTCTTATATTAAGTATTATGATACAAAATTTAGTATATTTTGGCCTTCAAAACTTTTTACTAATACCTTAAACTTTTATTAAATAAAAACAATTAAACACATACAAGTATTCTGTATATTCAATGAATTTTGTTAATAAAACCAAATCGCATGAAATTAATTTGAACATAATTGATCTTATAACCTGTTAATAAAAAAAATATATAAAAATAAAATGAATCTATAGGAAATATACGAGTAAATTAAAGTTAACGTAATAATTTTCGAATACAATGTATTTAAGTATAAAATCATAAAAGTAAAGTAAAGTAWGTACTAATGGAATGTGTTTATTGCGTAGGTCTTTTGTACACAATCAAAAAAATTATTAATGAGCAAAGAGTTTTAATGAATAACTCCATATAGACCAAATAAATATGAAATAAAAACTAAAATAAATATGCTTTTATTTTGATAAAGTTTAATTTTTCTAGAACATATACGTTTTCAAAACATTCACCCTTAAATTAAAGCAGATAAATAAAATCAGTAAGATCTTTTAACTAAAATGGCAACTCATTCAACGTGGTGAACTTTGATAACACTCATTCAGTAGCAGTAGTGCGTACACCCGCCTCGCTTTTTCTGGGTGAACCGTCTTCAACTTCCAGACCCGCTAACATAGCCAAAAGTTCTGCATCGGTTATTTGTGGTTTGGGCAAGCCGCTGGCTGCAGATTTGCTTATATTTGCGTTTTCATTTGTATTTGTTGGCTTGGTGGGCGTCTGACCCGTTTGACCGAGTATTTGTTGTAATTCACGTTCCAAAGCATCATTATCATTGACATCAGCACCACCGGCGGCAATATCTGATACTCCCGCATTAGCCAAGGTATCTTGTAACTCTTGATGTGTCTCCATAGTGTCACGCACCTCGGCGATAACTTCATCGACATTGTCATATTTCAAACCGGAGTCGTTAAGTGCTTTTTGTAATGCCTTTGAGCCGATCTTATAAGCATCGAGTATTTGTCCATGACTTTGTGCCTCATCCACGCTAGTTATAAGCGATTCTATATTGTGTAAAGCTATGCTACGTTTTTCTATAATAAAAAAATTGCAAATAAATAAATTTTCGAAATCAAATTTGTTTGTAACCCACCATGATTTTTCTCCAATAATTGTTTCTTTCGCAAGTAAGTCTTAGCCAATTGACGTTTGTTCTCTTTTATATATTGGCGTGCTTTTTCTGCATTTTCCTTTATGTCTTCCTCCAATTTTTCCAATTGTTTCAACAAACTGGCTTGTGTCATTTTAAGGTTGTGCACGGCACGATCAGTCTCAGTGATTTCAATGCTTGTATCAGTTTTTGCTGGAAAAGTTTAATTTCAATATTTTAATTATCAAACCTTGTTGCATGGTATACTCACAAGGTATTTTGATCAAGTGTATTTGTTGTTCTTTTTTGTCTAGTTTGTACTCAACTCCAATTTTTCTTTGACAATGCAACACGTGCAAACATAAATGTAGGCAATCCTCTTTAAGCGCCAAAACAGCGCTCGAAAGTTCTCTAAAGTTTTCATAATGCAGCAGTTCGCCCTGATGTTCTTGCAACACACTTTGTTGCAATTGTTTACAAAATTTCTACAATAAAATTAATGTATATATAAATAAGCATACAAGTATATTATTAATATTCGCTAACCTTCATAACATCTAAGTGAACATATTCTAGCCAGTTTGCTTGATTCTCTGACTGTAGTCCTATTCTGCTCTTCAATGTTTGCCAACCCCAAGATATTGGAAGTTTTACAAAATTATTCATCGCCCAACCGCTCCATGTATTTTCAGGATCATATTCAAAATCTGCACGTGCGCGTATTTTCTTGGCGTGCAACATCTCGCTAAAAACTGTGTCCAAACCGGAGGGTATTCGATCACCACGCGTAAATGTGTGCTGTAGGTCGCGTTTGCAAAAGCAGCCAGTGCCTGTGTGTTCACAATATAACGCTATCATATCTTCCCAAAACTTTAATTTTGAATCGTAGTGTTCTGGATTGAGTTCCCGTATACGAAACGGTGCCAATAGTGCAATCATACGAACACCATTCTTCCAACAAGGTGGATAGGGAAAGGAATTTCTGTTTTCTAAAGAATTCCCATGTTCATTGCTTGAAGCGCTGTTATTGGCATTCCGGTCCTTAGTTGATGCACGTAATGGTGTGGAGGAAAACATTTAACTGGAATAATGCTAACTTAAGCTTATTTTAAAAATTTACTTCAATGATTTAGATAATTGCGATTTGTTTATTATTGTATTCAATTGTGTTCACTCGTCTATTTTTAATGTTGCTCAACTGACGTACCTGCTTTCAAATATACAGAGTTGCAATCCTAGGTCTAAGAATATTTTAGTACTTATAAGGATATCAAACTACCAAATTTTAATTTTTTTTAATCCAGTTATAAAAATACATATTTACAAATTAAATAAATATATAAATAAACAATTATTATTTTATGAAAGATCTAATCTAATTAAAAAGTATCAAAAATAGCAATGTATCTATAAAATAATAAGCAGATAATAAAGTGCAATGAACACAACCTAACTCAATAAAATAACGATACACACAAAAATATAACCAACTGATTACTGTCAATTGTAGGGCCAATTGTCATCGTGTGTCTTCCTTTCATTGGAAAATTCGTGGGTGCGAGTTAAAACGTGAAATTTGTGTGAAAGTTTTTCTTCAAGCAATAAGAAAAACATAAAATATATGTGTAAATAGGGTTTATATATAAAATTCTTTTGACAAGGTGCTGCATCGGCCGATCAATTTGCACAGAGGGACATAACCTTGAAACAGTATTTTATTTGTATCGGCAGATCTACAGAATCCTTGTTTTTGCTCGTAAACACACACTTCGAAGGCCTGTCATAGCCAAGGCAATCAATGTGAAGCAACAAGAAAATTAAATAACCGCAAATAGAAAACTACTTGGCTTGGCTGGTGATACATGAAAGCAATAAAACGCCGCGCTGAATCATTTTGTTACGATTGATAAGACTCTGGCGTCAATTTATTACGTAGAAGAAATTGCTACCGAATGTATGCCATTCCAGCTGAAAAAATATTAAAATATCTTCTATATATGTACAACGTACCGCTAGTGTGTTGTGCGCGATTATTTACATTCAAGATTTTATCATTGAACTTGTGATTACAGTGATTTGTTTTGTGAAATATATAGTCATTACCAACATACATACGTACATACGTAATACGTCAACAAATAAAGTGTGGTATTCGGTCTCTCGCCCATTTAGTTACGTCGTCATCAGTGTGTCTTATACATTACATGCCCACATAGTGTTGTTACATTTGCATTATAAACATCTACATCGTCACACGCAGGTTCTGTAAAAGGTTTGGGCAGATAGATCAACAATCTTATTGGCTAATTATAACGACATGCAAGACGAAAAAATGCTCAGATCACAATTGGCTAAAGGTAAGCATTTAAAAAGTATGTATCATTCACATTGTTTTCAAAATTACATTTTCTTAAATACATTTATTTATATTATGAAAATATTGAGATAGAAGTAAACACTAGCTTATAATATACATGGTAGTTAACTTATAAATTTAGAGCTATTCTATATTTAAATTTTTAAATTTTTTGGAAATACTTAAAGAAAACTCGCAATTTTTTGCTAATAAATCTAACAATAACCAGAACTTTGTCATCATGTGCTAAATAGTATTGACAAATTAATTTAATAAATACAATTAAGAAAAATTTAAAAACCCTACTCCCCCTTAAATGCGAGCTGAGAATACATTTGTTGTATGCACGCACACACACTTCAGACAATTCTTTCATTAATATAGAATTTTATATTTAAATGCGCCTAAATGCAGGCAAGGAAAATGAACGCGGTTTTTATTTAAGGACAAAATTAAATATAAGGTTAAAAAATGATTGGTTTTATTAATTTATTTTGAAGTTCGATTTATATTTTGTAAAAATTTTTTCATATTTTCAACTATTTTAAATTCGAAAATCTTGAATTTTTAGTTTAAGCTAAATTACTTTTTGTTGTGATTTTGTGTGTAATTCTCTCAAGTTTTCTTATAGAGGTTTATAAATTCCTACTAATCGACTTCTCAAAAATAATTTCAAAAATTATCACTTGGTGGAAGTTTCTAAATAAAAGTAGCTCGTATGTATAAAGTTCACAAGAGCTACTTTCTATTATACAATATCTGCAAAATATATCAAATACTATGTAACAGCACACTTTACTAATCCCTCAAAAATGTAATTTTTGATAGAAACTAAGCTATATGCTAATAATCTGCGTAACTTTGAAGTTCTACATACCTGAATGCTTTATGATTAATATATTGAAATATTTAGCATTTAAACACATGTTAATTCGGTATTATCGCACTTCGTACACGCGTCGAATGAAAAAAAACTATTGGTCAAAGCATGATTATGAGCAAACCGCAGAAGAGAGCAACCCAAGAAACTTTTAATATGCGAGCAACGTTCGTTGATTAGTCAACACTCAATATATTAATTTGTTTGTTCATGTGTGTGTATAGAAATCAGCGTCGATAGTACGTATGTAAACATATTAAACGAGCCGCCGTATCGTATGATTTTTGCACGCTACAGTTCGCATTGCTGGTGCTCTAAAGCACTTGGATAAAGTTATGGCAAATTTTTATAATTTTAAGAAGTTCAAAAGCGAAAGTTACGTAATTTTTAGTTTTCACAAATATTTTTTTTTAAAACACAAACTTTTTAAAGTGTAAATAATTATATTGAAAATAAAATCAATATTTAAATATTGTTGACCTTGATGGAGATTATTTTGTATCAACAGAATTTTACCAAACGGTTTTATGGTAAACAATAATTCAGAAATTTTTCATAAAAAAAGTATTTTGAATTGGCTCACTAAACCAATATAAGAAAAAATAAAAACAAAAATTATAAAAAAAATTTAATTAAAAGAAAAGTAATAAAAAAATTTAAATAAAAAAATAACGCAAAAAATAAATGCTAAATGAAATGAAAATTCCATTCAACATATGGGAGCATGATTATTTGACGGTTCATAGGTCCGACGCCATGCCAAAAAAAAACAGCCCCAGACCATTATATATTATTACCACCACCGTGTTTGAAGGACTCAATCGCATAGCAGACGTATATCTATTTATTTTTTGAATGTCGGACCCACGTTCTACCATCATCTCCTAATATTATTAAATTTGGAGTCATCAAAACATGGAATGTGGAACTACCTTGTTTTTCAATTTCAACACCAACCTAATTAATGTGTGCTTTCGTAAACTGAATACCTCTAGGCACAATCTGCTAAAAATAGGTTTCTCCACAAGCCTTACTGATCTTCAAGAAATTTTTGCATCTAATTCTTCTTGAATGGCTGCAGTGAACTTAAACGGATCGCGCATCGATAATCCTGCAATATTTTGATCATCTTTTTTTCATGGTATTCTTTCATATATTTCCGCAGATTTTACGGCATTAAATACCAGTTCTTGCGATCTATTCAATATATTTGCAATTTCTCTTTATGTGTGAACCTTTCCTTTCAACTTTTTGACATACAATCTTTATTCCTCTGAACAATTTCTTGCTCAACACCTCCACCAACCTTTTCCCCAATCTTGGACCACCCGTAAAGCCAATATCCTTTGCGTGTTCAGGTCAGGTGTCCATCCCAAGTGGAGCAGGTCGCTTTGCTTCATTGATGTTAATTATTGATGAATAATTAAATATTTTGCGTTCTATTTACAATTTTCGTTTACTTTTTTATCGTAATGTATACTACTATGAACAAAAAATAGTAAAATATTGTTCTTCAAAAAAAAAAAAATTTAAAAATTTGTATTATTTTTGTATTTTGCATTTCGTTAGCTGAGGCGAAATTTTTTAAAATAACTCAAATAGCTTAGTAACACATATTTTACTTTAATTATAATTTGTGCTACACCTAAATCCGAGCAATATTGTTCATGGTTTTGATAAGCCCAATGTTAGAGTTCAAAATAATGCATTTATTTTGGCTGATTTTCACGTGTATTTTTTTAATGCTTGCATGACAGCCAAAAATGCCGGCGACGGCGTGTCTTTCTTATCTTGCTAAAGTATTTTAGGTCAAAGTGTACATGCGGATGTTAATCGGTTGAATATACATAAGTACCTAATTAACTTTGGATTAGAGTTGGAATACTTTAAAAAATTATTCAAGCATTGTATGAGATCTTGCACCAACCTTGTGGAACAATACACCTTTTCTATTGATCAATTCTTGACTCTGCTGCATAACTCAATTCGTCCAAATCTCAAAAAACGATCCCTTTGAAATCCAACCAAATATACATATGAACTTTTGAGCTGGTTCAACCATTGTAGACGGTGCATGATCTCTTGGACTTCACATTCTTGTAAACAGCCCATTTTTCGGCGCCAGGAAGGCCCATTGTGGCATTGGCGTTCGGTCAACACATCATATAATACTTGCGTTTCTTGACCCTTTTTACCCTTATAATAATAAAACAGCAAAATATGGCGGAAATGCTGTTTTCAATCTTCCATTACCAAACCAAAAGTATTCCAAATATTGTAACCAAAAAAGTCTTACTATATAAGTTGTTCAAATATATAACGGTAAAGCGATTAAGTGAAAAGTTAAGTTTGCCGTTGTCATGACAATCTACGTAACCGGAACGGACCCGAATTTTTTGTACAGTCAAGGCTGTTAACCCAGCAGAATTCTGCCCCTACATCAACAACAAATTTGTGTGTGAAAAAATTAAAAAAATATCAATTTGCTAAACAAATTTCCAAAAAATAATAATTCATCGAAAGATTACAAAGAACATACTTATCCAGTTTTTTATTCTTAAAATTTTTAGACGGTTTTTTAGTTATTTGCTGATAAAATCAGAAAGCTTTTTCAATTTTTTTTCCATAAAATTTTGTAAATTTTTTGGGAGTTTTTTTGAAAATTTTTTAATTTTTTTCCGAAATTTTCTAAATTGTTTGGAAGTTTTTGCTTTGGAGTTATTTGTGTTTTTTTTTTTTAACTTTTTAATAGTTTATGCTAAAACTTTTT